CGGGTGGGGGGCCCTAGCCCTGGAGACCCGGCCCGGCCTCCTACCCGTGCCAGCCGTGGGCGTGGAAAGCGACAGCACGTTCCCGTACTGGCTGTGGGCCCCGTTGCCCGGGGGAGGTGTCATTTTGAAGAACCTGGAGGAGGAAGGGGGGTTGCACGGAGGCCTGGCCTGGAGGGGCCTGGGAGACACACTCAGGATGCAGGCCAGGCCCTCAGAGATTAGAAGGTGGTCACTTGTAGTCAGCTCCTCGGTCCCAGGACAGCCCACAGAGCGGGCTCTGGGGTCACTGCAGCCTGAGAGCGGGCTCTGGGGTCACTGCAGCCTGAGAGCGGGCTCTGGGGTCACTGCAGCCTGAGAGCGGGCTCTGGGGTCACTGCAGCCTGAGAGCGGGCTCTGGGGTCACTGCAGCCTGAGAGCGGGCTCTGGGGTCACTGCAGCCTGAGAGCGGGCTCTGGGGTCACTGCAGCCTGAGAGCGGGCTCTGGGGTCACTGCAGCCTGAGAGCGGGCTCTGGGGTCACTGCAGCCTGAGAGCGGGCTCTGGGGTCACTGCAGCCTGAGAGCGGGCTCTGGGGTCACTGCAGCCTGAGAGCGGGCTCTGGGGTCACTGCAGCCTGAGAGCGGGCTCTGGGGTCACTGCAGCCTGAGAGCGGGCTCTGGGGTCACTGCAGCCTGAGAGCGGGCTCTGGGGTCACTGCAGCCTGAGAGCGGGCTCTGGGGTCACTGCAGCCTGAGAGCGGGCTCTGGGGTCACTGCAGCCTGAGAGCGGGCTCTGGGGTCACTGCAGCCTGAGAGCGGGCTCTGGGGTCACTGCAGCCTGAGAGCGGGCTCTGGGGTCACTGCAGCCTGAGAGCGGGCTCTGGGGTCACTGCAGCCTGAGAGCGGGCTCTGGGGTCACTGCAGCCTGAGAGCGGGCTCTGGGGTCACTGCAGCCTGAGAGCGGGCTCTGGGGTCACTGCAGCCTGAGAGCGGGCTCTGGGGTCACTGCAGCCTGAGAGCGGGCTCTGGGGTCACTGCAGCCTGAGAGCGGGCTCTGGGGTCACTGCAGCCTGAGAGCGGGCTCTGGGGTCACTGCAGCCTGAGAGCGGGCTCTGGGGTCACTGCAGCCTGAGAGCGGGCTCTGGGGTCACTGCAGCCTGAGAGCGGGCTCTGGGGTCACTGCAGCCTGAGAGCGGGCTCTGGGGTCACTGCAGCCTGAGAGCGGGCTCTGGGGTCACTGCAGCCTGAGAGCGGGCTCTGGGGTCACTGCAGCCTGAGAGCGGGCTCTGGGGTCACTGCAGCCTGAGAGCGGGCTCTGGGGTCACTGCAGCCTGAGAGCGGGCTCTGGGGTCACTGCAGCCTGAGAGCGGGCTCTGGGGTCACTGCAGCCTGAGAGCGGGCTCTGGGGTCACTGCAGCCTGAGAGCGGGCTCTGGGGTCACTGCAGCCTGAGAGCGGGCTCTGGGGTCACTGCAGCCTGAGAGCGGGCTCTGGGGTCACTGCAGCCTGAGAGCGGGCTCTGGGGTCACTGCAGCCTGAGAGCGGGCTCTGGGGTCACTGCAGCCTGAGAGCGGGCTCTGGGGTCACTGCAGCCTGAGAGCGGGCTCTGGGGTCACTGCAGCCTGAGAGCGGGCTCTGGGGTCACTGCAGCCTGAGAGCGGGCTCTGGGGTCACTGCAGCCTGAGAGCGGGCTCTGGGGTCACTGCAGCCTGAGAGCGGGCTCTGGGGTCACTGCAGCCTGAGAGCGGGCTCTGGGGTCACTGCAGCCTGAGAGCGGGCTCTGGGGTCACTGCAGCCTGAGAGCGGGCTCTGGGGTCACTGCAGCCTGAGAGAGGGCTCTGGGTCACTGCAGCGTGAGGGAGGGCTCTGGGTCACTGTGGCCTGAGAGCGGGCACTGTGGTCACTGCAGCCTGAGAGAGGGCTCTGGGGTCACTGCAGCCTGAGAGAGGGCTCTGGGGTCGTTGCAGCCTGAGAGAGGGCTCGGGGTCACTGCAGCCTGAGAGAGGGCCCTGGGGTCACTGCAGCCTGAGAGAGGGCCCTGGGGTCACTGCAGCCTGAGAGAGGGCCCTGGGGTCACTGCAGCCTGAGAGAGGGCCCTGGGGTCACTGCAGCCTGAGAGAGGGCCCTGGGGTCACTGCAGCCTGAGAGAGGGCCCTGGGGTCACTGCAGCCTGAGAGAGGGCCCTGGGGTCACTGCAGCCTGAGAGAGGGCCCTGGGGTCACTGCAGCCTGAGAGAGGGCCCTGGGGTCACTGCAGCCTGAGAGAGGGCCCTGGGGTCACTGCAGCCTGAGAGAGGGCCCTGGGGTCACTGCAGCCTGAGAGAGGGCCCTGGGGTCACTGCAGCCTGAGAGAGGGCCCTGGGGTCACTGCAGCCTGAGAGAGGGCCCTGGGGTCACTGCAGCCTGAGAGAGGGCCCTGGGGTCACTGCAGCCTGAGAGAGGGCCCTGGGGTCACTGCAGCCTGAGAGAGGGCCCTGGGGTCACTGCAGCCTGAGAGAGGGCCCTGGGGTCACTGCAGCCTGAGAGAGGGCCCTGGGGTCACTGCAGCCTGAGAGAGGGCCCTGGGGTCACTGCAGCCTGAGAGAGGGCCCTGGGGTCACTGCAGCCTGAGAGAGGGTTCTGGGTCACTGCAGCCTGAGAGAGGGCCCTGGGGTTACTGCAGCCTGAGAGAGGGCTCTGGTGTCACTGCAGCCTGAGAGCAGGCACTGGGGTCACTGCAGCCTGAGAGAGGGCTCTGGGTCACTGCAGCCTGAGAGCAGGCACTGGGGTCACTGCAGCCTGAGAGAGGGCTCTGGGTCACTGCAAGCCTGATAGAGGGCTCTGGGTCACTGCAGCCTGAGAGCGGGCACTGGGGTCACTGCAGCCTGAGAGAGGGCTCGGGGTCACTGCAGCCTGAGAGAGGGCTCTGGGGTCGTTGCAGCCTGAGAGAGGGCTCGGGGTGACTGCAGCCTGAGAGAGGGTTCTGAGTGACTGCAGCCTGAGAGAGGGCTCTGGGTCACTGCAGCCCGAGAGAGGGCTCTGGGGTCACTGCAGCCTGAGAGAGGGCTCTGGGTCACTGCAGTCCTAGAGAGGGCTCTGGGGTCACTGCAGCCTGAGAGAGGGCTCGGGGTCACTGCAGCCTGAGAGAGGGCTCGGGGTCACTGCAGCCTGAGAGAGGGCTCTGGGTCACTGCAGCCCGAGAGAGGGCTCTGGGGAAACTGCAGCCTGAGAGAGGGCTC